TTAAGATCCATTATTTTTTAATAGCTCTATTCAGCGGCTTATTCATGTAGTTCTGTATTTTCTTATGAAATATATAGTTTTGATTTTATTTTTTGAAAAATACCCCGATACACATCTTCAAGCCTCCTCTATTTAGAGGATAGATATGAAGATCAAGATGGCATGGCCTTTTGTTTGGTCTCCGTCTCCATTAGTTCTATAATGTTGGTTTGATCTCGTTTTCGCATCTTCGTCGGAGCGACAGGGAAATCTTGTGGAATATACCTCATCTGCCCTAGTATTCATGATGATTTTCAGCATCGGACCGTTGACTTCTTGTCTTCCCAGACGTTTCGCCAACATCTTCAGTGAGAGGCGCCGTCTTTAGCCGACTACGAAGCGGCGAAATGTCTGGGAATGCACCAATCCAATAGTCCGATGCTGAAAATTAGCATGAATACCATAACAGTGGACGCAGGACCAGGTACGTTCCACAAGGCCTCTCTATCGTTCCGACCAAGTTGCGGAAAACAGGTTAAATTAACACTAATCTATGATTCCGGCGAAACGTTTGAGAATATCTGATGCTGGGAATTATCATAAATATTATGGAAAATGACTTCAGACTAGGTGCGTTCTACTAAGTCCCCTGACAACAAGACCAAGTTGCTACAACGGGGTCGACCTACTTCTATAAATCAAAAAAAACTGCGACCATACCAGACGTCACACCATCTTGGTCTTCATAGCTTTTAACCCACTCCTAACGCTCCTCTCTTTCTTTTTCCCAATCTTCCCCGCTCTATCTCCTACGGAATATTAAAAGTAAACCTGTAATTATGACTTTGATCTCATCTTATATTTATTGATATTCAGTGAAATCAAAGCATATCTCGCATAAAAGTTATCTAGGTCTACTCTTTATGAATTAATCACATATCTTGCCAGCCTTTTTCGTATGATTTGATATTAATTTTAGCACTTGCTTGCTTCGATTCCAGGTTACTTTTGTGGGTATACTACGCAATCAACTATCATCCGAGCTCGATACCATCACCGTTTTATCGCAAGAGCTCTTTCTAA